ATTGAATTTTCTCTCTATGGGCCTATTAACAACCTAATGTGTGCTTAGCCTTACACGTCTCTTTCAGTAACTGAGCCGGCTTCCATCACGTAGTTGGATCTTCCGCGACTCTGCTTTCTTAAACTCCACATCCAGCAGCATTTCCAAATTTCAGTCCTCTTTAGGAAAAAACCTTGACGACCTACGAGGAATTGCGTCACTTATGATGTAATGGGATTGGTTTGTAAAAGGATTATGAACCGACCTCCGGGTGTCCAATATCCTGTCTTGCTCTGGTCAATATTGTTTGTCGTTGTAGACGAGACAACAAGAATCGTGACGACGTAAATGTTCTTTGGCCGACATGGAGTTTAGACGACGTGATTAATGTCATCGGCATAGTTTGGTAATTCTTAAACTGTTGTAGAGAAAAGATTTGAGGCATCTGATGCCCATGGTTGAATGTCATCAGTTATAAGGCTGTTGGTATGTAGACAGGAAATGAACTTCTGCTAAGACTGTACCAGGGAACCTATTTAATATTTTCACTTGACCAAATTCCTGCTGCTTTGGTGTATGTCCTGATGTCTCCAATTAACGAAAAACGTTAGAGGGACAACTAACAAGTTGATCATTTTTATTCTGAGGAAGACAGTGCAGCCTGGCTATCGTATAAAGTAAAACGGGAAAATTATCTGTTGGATTGGGCCGAAAATGGAAAACAATACGTTAACGTCGTGGACTGTCACACCTGAACGCTCTGTTGGGCATCCTGTCAGCGGTTTCTTGTTATCAGTTTTGGAAAAGGTATTATATGCAGAGCAGTAGCCCTTTCTTAATGTGTTTTCTATTTTGAGTATGGTAAGTTCGAACTGATGTTTTGCAGGTGAGTTTGTCCGAGTCAGTGTATTTAGCCAATTACTCGGGTCGATGTACACAATCTCATCCGGCGCCATCTGCACAAGAAGTCGTATTTGAGATTTCAATGTCCTTCACACTTTTAAAACCGGGAAGTTTTATTTGAACGCACATTCGATTACTTCTCGAACTAGAGTATAGTGTGTCAACACCGTTACCATTCTCTGCCTCATCTAATGCCAAAACTTTAGTAATTGCTTGAAAAGCCTAAACGTCACTTGTATTTCATGACACTGCACTTCGACGCTATTTTCCTTTTTGTCGTGGTATGCAGATCGCGAAGATCTTGGATTGTTCTCAAGAAGCTTTGCAAGATACCCAAAACCTACAGAGAAACTTAAAATCCCTCAGGGAGGAGAAGGAATACTGGGAAAACTTTATGGATCTGGAGGAGTGGAACAGAGAAACAGTCGATGAAGTCGAAATAGCGTGGAATAAAAGGTATTCACCCCTGCCCAGCTTATTCCTAATTATTGTGACCTTCGTTATTCTTTTTTATAGCCATCAGGCACGAATGAAGAGGCCAACATTGTTTCGATACTTCTATTAATGCGATAACTAAGCGAGAATATAACCTGCAATCAATTCGAGTGGAGTGTTTTGACGAGAATATAATATACTTAGGTAACTAGAGGAGTCAAAAATAACACCCATCTCTCACAGTTTGATATTAGCTTTCAAACCTTAGAGTGATTCGTAGATATCGTAGATATCATGCTGAGAACGTACTAAAACTGCAGCATTGAGTAATTACTTTGAGAAGTTACGTTTCAAGCATTTTTGTAGTTGCCTGCAGGAGGGAACATAACCTTTTGTGATATCGAAAAACCTTTTATATCTTTTTTTTTTCCATGGAAGTATTTGTTTACCCCTAAAAGCATTTTGCTTTACAATTAGTGTGAGAGTAATGAAGCTAAAATGAATGGCAATAGGAGCTTTTCACTTCAGTGTGCTTCGTTTAAATTTCTTCGTTTTTCTCGAAGTTTCACCTCACGGGAAATTAAGAGTCACCTCGGTGAATGACTCAAACGGTTGTAAACACCTGGACATCAGAATTTTCTTGTTTTAAAAAATACTTTCCACTTTGTATTGATTCTTTAATATCTTATTTCTAATAGCGTGCATTTTCTTAACAAAGCATCTAATTGTTTGGCATGATGTTATGGCGGTAATTGCATGAGAAAATAATAAACGGGCTGTTTGCCTCATTAGTAAAGAGCCCTTTCCTTCAGTAAACAATGGATTATTATCACCTCGAAAATTTGACCGAAACGAGGACTTAGCTGTTAACACGTATTCATGTTAGTCTGAGTGGTTGTCGATGTCACACTAGTCTATTTTAGGTTGTCCATAAATCATATTAGAAGAACCAGTTAGCTCGTTTCTTAAACAAAAGCTGTGATTTATTTGGTTTCAAAAGATTTATTTACGTGCCTACGCCATATTGCAAGCTGAACTATGTCGTGAGAGATGAAAAGGACTAAAGGGAAAAGATATTGAAGTTAAAGAGACCATAGCAATATTCTTGGGAAAATATTTATTCAAGGCTAACTGCCTCCTAGTATTGCATTTTAAGAATACCTTTAAAAAAGTTATTTTCTTCCTTCTTGACATAACCCAGAAGGCATTAAACGCCTCCAGTTCAGCGTGATCTGTTTGTTTTCGAACGAGGCGGTTTTGGGTTGAGATGGTCAAGTGACTCCGCTGCTACTTGAGAACGGTGTGTCTCTAAAGGCGAAGAGTGCGATCGAACCACGCGAAGCAAACTCATTATTAGACTGTTCTTTAACCAGTACCTCTACATCATGACATAAGCGCTAATTTCAAAGAATAACTAAGATTATGTCTCAAGGTATCACTCAGTCTCAATACGGGACTGGTCATCACATGCAGATAGATCTACGACGTAAGACTGGTAGAAACATGAGCGTGAGTGATATGTTACGATACTTGAAAAACAGTGAATCAAACAAACTGAAGAGATAGAAGTGATTGACTACTGAATATAAGATCATGGGGTTTGTTATCATTTCAAACAACCAATATCGCATTGTCCAATTAATTTTGTTGAGGCATCAGTCTTTAAAAAAATTTTTGTCTCCTTTCACATACCAAAATCTTTTTTCTTGGGAACAAACTAGCAGCTAATGGATGTCATTATTTAAAGAGGAGGAATAATAAAAGCAACAAAAGAAAGCCATAAAGCAGATATAAGCAGGGACTGTAAGGCGACTAGACAAAGACTAATACGCCTGTTTGACATCTAGTTATTGTTATAATTCTTTGCTAGCAAAACAAAAGACATCTATAAATTATTTTTCATCGGCCATTAAGTAGAGATATGGCGAATAGCCCAATTTTTGAGGCCTTACTGGTGATTTTGTATGCGAATGATCTAATTTTCCCTTGAAAGATTGAACCCCAAGATTTGCGCTTTTAAAACGAGGCAAATTAAGGCGGACACGACATGTTTTCTTACGACAAAGATGGACTTGTTAAAAAAAAAAATCGCCGAGAGTTGTTTTCATGTACCAACAATATGGGCCGAATTGGAGATAAAGAAGAGTAAAAAATTAAGACCTGAAGAATCTTCGTCACGGAAAGTTCTGAAAGGCGTATTGGTTCTAAAAATAAATATGGAATCATTGGTTGGACAGATATCGTAGATTTATTTAATTAAGCATACGACCACATTTGTTTATTGTTAAAGCCCTAAACGACCTGAATACTTTCATCAAACCTGCGTTGGGCCGTTTCTCGCCCGAGGCTATAAACCTCATGTTAACTCAGGGCCAACGCCACGCTTTGTGCATTCTTTAAAAGCTTAATCCTGAAATATTCGAGTTTGCCATTTGCAACTCCTCTGCATCGTGAAACACCATTTTTTTCCTTTGCTTGTTCCACCCTTTCTTGTCTTATTCACACCTTGACAAGTGAGTTCTTCTATTTAACGTGAACATAAGAAAAGACTCAATTTCTCGTGATCTGCCTGTGCCTTCTCTCACTTACCATCAACACCGCCGAGATCTCGAGTTTGCGGTGAGTTATGTTTGGTGTGTTGACATGGAAATTTCACCACTTAAGGCGGATGCTATACATAAACAAGATCTATTTGTTTATCTTAAGACAATCCACTTAACACCATGCTAAGAAATTTAATTACACTCGTAAAACTGAGGGAGAGCCTCTGAATGGGCATAGGGTAAAATATGGACTGGACCATTTTTTGGACCATTTTGAAGGGGGGAGCACACCATTAGTACTGAGGGAGGGGTAGGATGAAGTCTATCAGTACTAAGGGAGGGGTGGGAGGTGGAGTGTTATTACTCGGGGAGGGGTGTGAGACGGACAATTACTACGCAGGGAGGGGTGAGAGGTGGTTGTAATGGTAAACACTACTGGTAAATGGAGCTTTAAATCGATCGCACAAACAATTTTAATTGGTTTTTCGGCTGAGTTTTTGTATGTCAAAATTTTAGCGCTGGGCCGTGGCGTTTCTTCACTGGACTTCTACGTTTTGCCGACGGAAATTATCGGCAAGCAACAGTAGCCACCATAGTTCCCCTTCGCAGGTTTCATAGGTTTTAACGCAAGAACTGATCGACAGAATGAATGAATGAGGTAATTCTCATGGTATATTTTTTCCAACATGGAGAGCTTCCGGCATCAATCCCGCAAAGCGTTACTCTATCATGGAATGCTTACACCAGAAAAGTAGTTCACGAACCCTAGAAATGTTAGAACGCGTATTTAAAAGAATAAGGCCTAATTTGATCCTGATCGTTAAAAATACGTCATTCCTGAATAGGTTCTTCGGTAACGGCTGGTGGTCATGATAACGGCCTCAATAACAAAAACGACAACCACAACCCTCAACAGCTAGCAGGAGAACTCTAGATGAGCGATATTTCATTTCTGTTTTTTCGTTTCCTAAGATTTTAAAACCCAAAAGAATGATAGGCGTAGGAATATTAGGGCTTTACTGGCGTCGAAAAATACCAGAGGGGAACTAAATCTATTGGGTATGGGGATTGCAAAACACCGATTGTAAAGTCATGAACTTGAAAAAATCAGTTTAGGACACTAAAATGGGCAAACGGTGCTGTAATTAATAGTTTGTCGTCTTTCTGTTTAATTTCTTTGTTATTTTTCTTTCCCTTTTGAGTTCTCGCAAGAGAATAGAAATATACATTCTCTTGATTCTCGTCTTTGACAAAATCTACTAATTCCTCTAAAATTGATTGTTGTTTTGGTATTTGAAACCGTCAGAGGACTGGACGCAAGTCACACTAGTGACAGTGCTAACACTTTTTCAAGTCAAGGTTAGTTTTAAGCTCTACGTCATAGCGATTAGCAATGTCTTGAATAAAATCTGTGGGCTCATGCAGCTCATGAAATAAAGTTCCTAGACCGACCTCACAACATCAAAGGAACCACTTGTCACCTCAACGCTGAGCCGCTTAGTGCATAGACGTGTGCAAATGGTTCAAGACTGCAATCCATTCTAAATGCTTGGTAACGTGGATTCGGCGTTTCCTTATAATATCGAAGGTGGCTGCACAGCTTGGATACTGCAGTTATTAAGGTTTGTTTTGCGCCCCGAACCAAACCATGTTCCATTACCAGACCAAGCACCATAGCCGTTAGAATGTCATGTTAAAGAGACTTGTTTAAGATGTCAGGGTTTGATCGAAAGTGCAAGTTGATCACTAACTGTGGATTTATCTTCTCCTTTCTAAATGTTATGTTTGTTCAGTCGTTCAAACCCAAAGGTGAAAACCATTACATTGGACTCGTGGCAACTACACATCATGGGGTCGTATAGTTGTAGCTTTATCTCAGCAGTAAAGCCAAATGTTTCCAGACATATCACCTCTATGAAGACACAAATGAATTGCATCGTAACCACTCAAATAGTCGTATAAATATCAAGAAAAAATATATGTATAACTCCGTGACGTATTTACAATGGCTGCACTATGTTTGTATTATTGGGTACTAAATGTTTACACCCGGCCATATATTGTTCTTGTAGGAATGCTTTTGTTCAAGATAAAACTGCATGTGGTAAAGCGCGTCGCTCGCAGGAGTCTGACTGCAAATAGTCATTGTGTTTTAAGGATCTTTACCATTCAGTAAGCAGTGAAGATGATCCATGACTTACATGACTGACACTCACGAGCTTCGCTTATTTCCTAGAATCGTTTTTCAGGCTTATATATCTAGAGATACTATAGTATTCCAAGTCGCAATCGATTATTCATAATGCAAGAAGATTTCAGCACAGATAAACCAAAACAGTTTAGCAGAACAACTTCCGTCCTCCGTGATATTACAAAGATCATGACGTTTCAAAGCCTTCCGGAAAACTAGTAGAATGAGCTGACGAGTGGGTGATCAGATCTATCCGGCAAAAGTGAAGCTAAAATCATATTAAAAATCCCCTGATTTTCCCAAAATGCCAGCGTGTCATTAATCACGAGTAGAATTTTCAATTGACTAGGCGATGTACAAACTGAGTTAGTACGTAGCTTTTACAAATTTCCTAATTTGGGAGATATTTTGAAAATTTAACAATAGTTGCGCACTTTATATCTAAAAACGAACTTGTTATTCCCGAGATTCTGGGTTCGCCTGACATAGTTATTAGGTGCTGGTTTTTAAGTATCCAATAGCTCATTAAGTCATTTGAGTCTTACAAAGTGAAAACTTGATGATATTAACAAAATTGTAAATTAAACTGTCAACGAAAGCAGAAGCTTATGAATTCACCGATCTAAAAGGAAGGAAAGTCGACGCTCAATCAGATCCTCTGCTCAACGAAAACTTTTTATGGTACCCAGAGCATGGCTTTTCTTCAAAACCCAAAACTCTGGTGTTAAGCAACTTAGTTATACGGTCCATGTGGTAAATCGTGTTCAAACATTGTTCGAGTGGTGTTTTTACTACACTCGAGAGCTATGCAACAATTGTTTGTTATTCCATATACAAAGCAATAGGTGTATCCGTTTCTCTCAAACAAAAGCGGCCACAAATTGGCTGTCGGTTTTAACTGTCAACTCCGAGGCTGCAAATTTCTTAGGTATTCCTTCCAGTTTCCCAAATGATTTATATCTATTCAAAGGTGTTTTGGAAGGAGGTGTTATTTCGTTTTCATGTATCGGCAATGAGCTGGCCTATTCGAGGGCTTACATTTGATCCCACGGTTCTATTCAGCGTCTATTAATATTTGCGCAAGGGCAATGAAAAGTGACATTTATGCCATCAAAACAGACGCTTTTTGCATATTCAATTTTGTTTTTTAACTAGTTGTTTGCGTAGCTTACGGATTCTTTTACCATTCATGCACCCTAGTATTTCTTTTACCCCCTTCAAAGTTTTCTTCATAAATCAGTGATGTCTTGAACAATTGCTTTACTGTTTGCATTGTAGCTTCGGTGCGTTTGAAAAATGGTTGTTTTCGAGAAGCTTTTCAAGAAAAGCAATACAAATGCTGGCCGACTCCTTGTCGCCATGTCGTTTAAGTGATGTCATTCTATTTGCACTTTCTATAGGAATTCCACGACGCTTTAAAACTCCAATTTATTAAAAAAAATACTTTGGGGGTTCCTTAAAACATAGAAAAATTTTAACTGATCCCTAAAATAAGCTTTTTTAAACCGTCTGACCTGGAAACCGTACTAAATGAGAGTTACCCAGCTCTTTCAAACAATTGTGGCCAATCTTGTTACGTGACAAATCGCTGTTCGATTGTTTGTTGAAATGATTAAATGAGTTTTTGAAGTGCTTTTTGTCGGCGTTTCTTAACGAAAACTTGAGATGACAAGATAAATATTTTAAAAGTCGTCTAGGTCACTTAGTTTGAGAGACCTTCCCAAGTGACCTCAAAGAAATAGTGAGTATCAACCATAACTCATCTGTTTAATATTTTTGCAACATATTCATAGGAAAAAAAATGAAAGAAATATTTTTAACTAGAAATTAATGTAGTTATTTAAATTTTTTCTATATTTCATTTTGTGCCAGATGTATTTAAAATTATAACAAAAGAATTATTAGGGACAAGGGTCTTTCTTACCGGCTCATGTTGAAAGTTTGAAAGTCGAGCTTTTAGATACGAAATTTAAGCAGTTTTGTTTCTTCATGATGTAAATTTGAAATCTAAGGCTTCGTTTGAGTCTTCAAAATATATAACTTATTGTTTTTTTTTGGATACCTAACTTTGATCATAATAACCTACTTTGACGCCTGTTTGGCAATTGAAAGGAGTATCTGTCATGATTCTGTTACTACAGAGGAAGGTACGAAACATGCATAATTGACTTGTTCATAACATCTTGGTAAACAGGAAAAATTATTTACAATTGGTCGAGAGGAAAAAATTCGTTAATTGAAGAATTGGAAAATGAAGTATTCAATCAAGAACATTTTGGATTACTCTCTCGAAGATTTTAACTTTCCGCTTAGTTGTCTTGGTTTGTGTGAATGGCCTCACAACCCTACTTTGCTTATTGAAGAAAAATTCGTCTGGTAATTTGAAAGGGGGATGTCAACTCGAAAGTAATGAAGAAAATCTCTCGGCCTAAAGGTGGTGCGTGAAAAAATTTAGGTGTTTTTGAAGTCTGTTGAAATACCATAACACTTTTTCGTCTATAGTTGCGGTACAGATCTATGGAAAAACAATACACTCCGAGGTCCCATTGAAAACAGGTCGCGTTCATGACGTCAGTCATGTGAAAAACAGAATGCTCATATAAACAATTGACCGGTCTGGCCTTTTATCATAAAATAGTCTTGTGACTCGGGAACACTTTTGTAGCTGTACCGATCTTCCCTTTTTACAGGATATTTTATTTACTTGTACGTGAACACAGTTGAAATTTTTAAATCGGCCATGTCAAATCTTTTAATGTTACATGTTGTTGCCGTTCATACAACAGGCAGTAAATCACTCGTTGAGCTCAGGTAATATCGCGAAGACTACAGACATTATATTAACATTTTAGAAATCTTATTGAAGTTTCCATCTACTTACTAAGGGATAGTCTCTTTTGACTCAAGCTTTACTCACTTGTTTTGGTCTCTGATCGTGTTGAATTATTGAATCTTAGATCTCAGGGTGACCAGTCAACGGAATTACTATCCTTGGAACATCTTAGTGACAAAGGAACACTTGAACCTGACAAACCATCTTCACGCACACGACCTCTTCGTCGTTCGCACACGGACCCCACAGACTTGCTTTGGGTATTTCGTAGACGTGCATCCTTGCTTGCACATAGAGTTCATCAAGACCTTGCTTCATGTGAGAATACGAATGAATACAATGACCCCTATCGAGATGAGAAAGTTGAAGAAAACTGCAAGGCTGTGACTGAGCAAGGATTCAGTAAAGATATTCCTGACAAGGTAAACTTATTAATGACGATGGCAGTTTCACTTACACCTCATTAATTTGGTTTATTTTCATTACAAGTTGGTTAATTTCAACCAAAGCGAATATTTTAGCTTCAAAAGGTTATAATAGGGTCTCACTTTGCACAAGTAGCCTGAATACCCATTGTATTAGACGTAGTACTTAGATCGTTATGGAAATAATTAACCATTCAGGTTGGTATGTAAACAACATCTCAGCGAGATATATTAGCATCATTGAAGACTTTTGAACATAGCTGAGATATAACATGGACACCAAACTTTCGATAAAGATTCGGCTAGATGTACAAAATATAATTCTCTTACACGAAGGGTTGTTTGCTAATCGGCGGTACCAATTTAGTTCATAAATGTTCCATGTAAGCCCTCTCGTATTGACAATTAGGCTTAATAGCAAGTACTTCAGATTGTCTAGTCTGGAACACATTGGCTGATAATCTACATCTTTTTCGCGATTAACCTTCCTTATAAGTGCGAATTTTTAGAGCCACTAAAAAAGAAAAAAAGTTATTTGCGCCGGGCCACAGTTTCTCGACGTCGTTCTGCTACGCAATGGTATGATCTCATTACCGCACTTATGACCAAACTGTAAAAATGCATCATTCGTTCTGATGCCACCATTATCTGGAAATTCTGGAAAACTGATGAAAAAAAGGGGCATTACCTCGTAATTAACCAAAGGAATGTTACCTTTATTTTGGTAAAGCTTCAAGGCGCCAGAATGTCAAGCAATTATAGGTTCCTTTGAGTTGAAGGTGGAAGAAACCAAATCTATACAGACAAACTGCTTTGTATTTCTCGTCAACTATTGTAAATTCACAGACAAGAGTTCCTTAGCTACGGACATAAGGCTGATGCGCGTTCTGAACACTATAAATCTTGGGATCTGTCTGACCATAGTTATATGTAGAGGATTTTGTTACTTAAACACTGAGGTTCAATCGCATCTCTTTTGAAACCGTTCACAGTTCCTAAGATTACCAAAATAGAGCCGCTTTATTGTCATCATTGCCGTACATGTGTATAAGGTGCAGGATTTAGAACCTCAGACAATTGTTGCGCTCCGAAAGCACGCGTTTACTTTGCAGAACTTACAAATCAAAACAATTAGAGATCATTGTGGAATGCGAACTGAGATTCTTTGCGGATTAGCTATTGAAATACAAGAAATTCTTTTTGTTTACAAATTGTGAAAAGTTTCCAGATTAGTGGATACCACTGAGCCAAGAATAAAAGACGTAAGCTCTTAAACGAATGTAATAAAAGATTCTCATTTCACCTTTGTCTTACTTTTATAGAGTTTTAGTTCTTAGTTCTATGTCGCAGTGGGGGTCCGTGGATCAGATTCGAGTAACTAAAGAAAACCTTTGTACTCTTTTTAGTTTTTGTTTCTTGGGAGATTTATGGCAGCTGTATTCTGTTGAAATAACTGGTGTTGATATAAGCTTCTTAGGACATTAAGAGGCTTAGATGGATAAACCAAGAGCAATTTGCCTTCATAGGATTAACTACCACTTGTCACAGTTTCAAGGGATCGCGCCAAAGTGCTTTGCTTTCGACCAATCTAGTGTAGGATGATTTTTTACATTCTTCTATATTGGAATAGCTAGTAAAAGATTTGGAAGGTGTTCAGCTTTAAGTCATTGAATAAACAATTGCGAGGAGACATTATTAAAAATGAATTAATCATCGAACTCATCATAAATTTTTGTGACTGTAGAGTGTTCCAAGTCAATAAATCGTTGCATTGCCTTTTAGTCAATAAGCCGGGTGAGAAGATGTCACATTTGACGAATGAGATCACATGTCTCCTACAAAGCATGATCTTATTACCTGGAAGCGTAATCTCGTTATTAGGAAATTATTGAAGCTGTCATGATTATAAGATTACAAACCCTTAAAAGAGAGAAAGGGAAGAGGACAGAGAGAGGTTTTGCTTTGTTTGTTTATTCATTTTTTTAAAGTTTGTTGATAAGGTGCGGAGCAAAAAGGAAGGTCTCAAGTTGGTAGAGAACTTTCAGCGTTCCGTATTTCTCCTCCAGACTAAGGCCCAGGGACTTACTTAAAATTTTTGACTTTTGGAAATGACTTGAAGGTGCTGATTCCGCTTTAGCTGAAGCTTGAAAAGTTATGAATAAAGTGGCAATAGA